TCTAAAGTTTCATGTATGTAAAAGTCTGCAGACACTTCGAAATTGTACTTACGCTTTCAATTCCACAATAGACCTTAATGTGGGTTAAGAATGTCTCAATTCCCAACAATATGGACAATATTGCGACGATCACCCAGGTACCACTGTAATGCATAGCACTCATGTATGATATCGCAATGTTGACACAGATAAAGTCGAAGCAAACACACAGCTTTAGCTAGAAAATGTTGAAGAAATTATTGATATATAATCCTGAAGGAAACAGAAAAAATCTGCTTGGATTAAATGCGAATGCTAAGATGGATCCTAGGGATTTCGCTTAAAGTGGCACTGTCACTAATCCTCAAACGAAATAACTCCTAAAATTGTAAAGTAACTTCGAAAAAAATTGGTTCCTTGCATGGTTTGTTCTTGAGATATTTCATTTTGTTTCAAACCATGTGACTTAATTTACTCAATTACATATATAATACTATATATATTATATAATCAATATTGGATAGTGTTATGCGCCAGCTAGTGCCAGAGTTGTCGGAGCTCCGGGGTTTTCTGGTCATCTGGTGCCGGCGTTTCGGTGCTTTCTCCCAACTCCGGCTGAGAAGTCAGAATGACAAGAAATGTGACAATTAGAGTTGGTTACAAATAATGGTAACAAGAACACATAATATCTGTCGTAACAAACCGTCTAAAAGCTAAGACGACCTATTATATAAATGAAGGAATTTACGATTGGTCAACTGTCTGGAATTTGAACTGGGTAAATTAGGAAGAAGTGATGTATAAATGTGAAGAATTACTTTATTACGTTTCCATAATAGTCTATAGAGAATGAAGACAACGTTACTTTACTTCTACTTACCAAAAAATTAAGTTGGAATACTAGAAACAACACGGAGATAATAGCGAGAAAAACAAACTATAAAATAGAATGAAAAGATGCAAGTTAATTTACTTGTTGCCCACAGAGTGAAACAGCAGCAGATACAAACAAACAAACACGAACGTAGGCAAACGTACAGGAATTCCAGCCCAGTAATGCACTTGGTCCTGGCGATACATCGTCTCTTGATGCTCAGCGAGTTCCGTGTTTCCATTCTCAAACAATGTTCCACACAACAGCAAGATGAGCCCAAATATTAAAAAAATTGCCGCGTAATATTTCAGCGAGGTTTTGTGTTCGGGATATAGCTTCATGTTGTTAGAATTTATTGTCTGGCAGTTCTCAAATGTGCTGTCGGAGAAGTATCGACTTTGTAGCTTGTTTCTAATTCATTGACTTTCTTTCTCTTTTTCTTTTAGTTCCAGCTTTCCTTTAATGTTATAAAATCGTAAATTCAGTAGAACGAAGCTGTGTTTGATGCTCCATTCGACGCGCCGAAATGCAAAACAACCCGTTTTGTGCGGGTTGTGGTGCACTTGTTTTGTAAACATAAACTCTCATTGATATTTTCGCACATTCTTTTAAAGTGGACGTGCATACATGTGCAGTCTACATACGTCTTCTTCGACTGTCTTTTCCCTTTATTCAGGTGATTTGGCCTTCTTGTACATCATCTCCGCCATGGAATTATATCTATTGCATCATCCTCTGTAAGTCCAGTGTCTTCCACAACTTCTTAAGCTGTAGTATACTTTATACTCCAGTTATTCTTCCACTTTCTCGCCTGTAAGATGCCCTGTGAATCTGTAATTCTGTATAAGTACGTCACACAAAAGACTCTTTCGTTCATCATTTAATTTTCAGTCAATATAAATTTTACATCATGGCATTTGAATTGAAGTAAATATAAACCCGAGTCGACTAGTTTTGTGTCTATTACATGTACAAAAGACAAATGAAAACATCATATAGGCAAGGCGACCTTAATTCTATAACAAAAATTCCATCAACAGTTAAGCAAATATTTTCATCTACAAATGTATGCATGTAATATAACAGAATATCAAACAGATCTAGCCTTAGTCCCTTACTTAACTGCAGATGTAATAGTGCACCAATGGATAATACTGACGACTAGATAGGCGAGACACTTGATGCATTTTCTTGCCGTTCTACTACATGGAAGAACTACTCCACAAGTTTTGTATCGAAGCATGCATTGTCATTGATTATTCTCCTTCAAGTAAAAATATATTCTTCTTTAATTGTATTAGTCATTTTCTGAATGCCTGGATTAATTTGTTTGTGCCAAAGAGGGCGGAAACAGACCAAGCTTCACGTAATCCTCCAGAACCTTAGAAATACACGAGAATTAATATTGTTCAAGTTACTGAGAGTAACAGGGGTTGTATTGGGTCAAAAAGAACAACAAATGAGCAACATCTGAGTGGCCCAGGGGATGATTCTCGAATGTAAGATGTGCCTTGGGTAGAGGGAATAGTTGACCAAATGTGACGTGGCGAGAAAAACACCTTTACTTGACATTAAGATTTTTATTACATGTTTGAAATATGTATGGAATGGTTATTCTAGTTTTCCAAAATATAATCTTCAATATGCACTGTGACAAATGACTGACACTATGGTCATGAAAGGCAGTACGGGGTGTATGACAACGTACAGGCTGTAACAACCACTATATAGTATATAGACTTATTTGTGTTATTGGTCACATGACATACATGCAGGATTTCATAAATAAAGCAATTTATGATATGATGTATTGTGACATTGTTACATCAGAATCAACCATGCATCTACTTACGTAACCATCTAACTACTTTCAAGTTCAAATAAAATTGCTTTTGAAACAATCTGTTTTAAAACATAGTAACTCTGGTAGGAAATAAATTTTAAATTTGGAAAACCTGACTGTACATGTATGACAAATGTGAAATTTACCTCTTTTAAGTTACCAGTAGTTAGTTTCCCATGCTCACACTTAAAACCCGTTTCCTCCAGCTTACTGCCATCTAATGAAAGATGTTTTTCGTAAAGCAATTCCTACAAAGTGCAAAAGATCATAAACCATTTATCGGGGCGCAAGAGGAATATTTTTCTTTAAATATTTAATATCCCTACCTCTACAATTCATATTCCTACCTTAAAAATTCCTAAAAACATTATCTTTTCAATTTTCGGTTCAAACCCCCTTATATTTTCCACTAAATGTCATTCTTATCACTTCATTACCTGATCCAAATATGGACTTAGAGGCGTATTTTCAATATTGTCACGCTGACAAGCCTCAGACCAAGGTTCTAAATGTTTCTCGTTGGATTCATCCACAATGTCGGTCATATTTAACTGAAAAACAAGTACAAAAATACATTATAGGATTTTCCCTCTTCAATATTAAGATGAAATTCAAGGACTTTCTCGGGACATTTAGGGAATTTTTCCATAAAATTCAGAACCTAGTAGAGCTGGAAATCTCGTTCTTAAGGTTACAGAACACCTTTGAGTGTTAATTTTGCCTAAAATTTTTTTATTCGTTTCAATGAAAGCACTAGACTAGTTCTACTATCTGACCAAGTTTGAACGAAAAATGTTGAAAACTCGCAGAGTTATTTAATAAAATACATTTCGCTGCTATAAGAAAAACATTGAAAATGTAATATTCAAATTCAATTTTCTCACGAAACATTTTACGGTAATTACTGATTTTCAAACGAGTTATGCTCCTGCGGGTTTTAACCAATTTTTCTCAAATTTTCACAGGACATAGCTAAATACGTCAGTTTCAAAATTGTGTTCGGCTTTTTTTTAATTTTGGATATTTTAAAAATAAAGAGCAATTCACTCAAACAATTCAGAAATATATTGCAGTCGTCAAAGAAATCGCCATATCAGCGGAATGACGAAATAAACAAAAATTTCCGGACACAATTTTTTAGAACAACTATTGTACTGTATAAAAATGATATTTTCATAAATATAACTTAAAACCAGCAGGAGCACAACTCAAAAGCGTAAAGGTACCGCGATTTAAGATTTTCCTGAATAATTCTTACATTATTTTATTGTTTGTTAATTTTACAACTTTACCATATTTTGCATGCACTGGAGAACATTTGGTGAAAATTTGATGAAAATCGGACTGATATTGAGCGCGCAGTAGCGATTTTCCGCAAAACGCCAAAAAGGGTGTCCTGTAACCTTAAATCAAATTAAAGCTGCCTGGAACTTCCAGTGAGGACGGTGAGGATATTTTTCAAATCCAAGGACATTGTATAGGATTCTCAAGGAACATGTATCTGGCGAAATACTGCAAGAGCTTCATACTTACACGAGCAAAGTTTGATACGATGGTACCATGATAATCATGTTCAATTCCCAATAACTCGCAAACAAGTTCGGAGATTATACCTTGAGCTAATAAGAGAAATAAGGGATGGCAATTCTAATGCTTAGTAATCAACTTTACCTACTCTTCTATGAACTAGGACAATATAGTAACTATGTATAAAGGAAGAAAGATACAAATTATCCGTTTACAAGTTTAAGTGCTACTTGAGAATTTCGTCTCAGCATCCGCGTCCGCTTATGAGAGGTGCTGAGCCGCTTACGGGAATTCGTATAAAATGTAGGCGATATAATAGATCATGATTTTTCTGTGTTGGTGTAATGTACTCAGGTGAATATGATGCTTGTGATGTTACTCTGAGTGTACATCCTCACCGGGCAAGCTTGAAAAATATGCCAGACCACGGTGGGAATCGAACCTACGACCTTTGGAATACTAGCCCATTACATTACACCAACACAGAAAAATCATGATTATTATTAGATAACATTGATATCGAAGGAACTAGATTCTGTTCCGAAATATCACATACTCGAAACGACCAGACCGCGTAGTTCAGTTGACAGAGCATTGGACTAGTATTCCAAAGGTCGTAGGTTCGATTCCCACCGTGGTCAGGCATATTTTTCAAGCTTGCCCGGTGTGGATATATACTCAGAGTAACATCACAAGCATGATATAACAGATGTTTCGCCATGACCCAAGAATGGTGTCTTGTACACGAGGTATCCGTATATAAGGAGATGATCGGCTGTAGCCTTTTTATGAATAAGTACGGTTTCCAGATGTGGCAATGCCAAATTATATTAAAACCTCTGAGACCTGGATGCGCCGAACCTAATAGCTTTCTTAAGTCCCACACGTACAAGTTCGACGTTTCAATACGTGAAGTTCGGCAGAGTGAATTAGACGGCAGAGTTGGAGTGACAGGTCCTGTCGGACTATGGGACTCTGGAGCGACGTCAGCAAGTCAAATGTCGCTCTTCTCGTGCGCCGAACCTAATCCACAAATTATTTTAATTCATTTCATATGTAATTTATTTCTATGAATTGTATATTTTTGTTAAATTTACATTAGGAGCGATTTGATCCGGGACTGACACCTGCCCTGTAGAGGACACCATGACTCGGTCCCAAGGGTGTCACATACCGGAGGTTCGACTATACATTTAAAACACTTACTCGTTTCGCCATTATCGACCAAATTGTAAACTTCTCCATTATTTCCGTTTGTAGTCAGATACCATAACGCTCGAGATACATCATCAACATGGACTGTGTTCATTCGTAAATCTTTAGTCCATAATAACTGCAAATAAAAACAATGGCTTCAGTTTGCAAGCAAGTGTTTAGCCAGGCGACTGTCCAACCACTTTTCATTTAAATTTAAAAACTCTATTTAATGACGCTAGCCCCATCAGCAAAAGCTGGTTTCAATGGGAAGCGTCCAGACACTACATATATATACAAAAAACATTGACAATCATACAAAAAACATAACTACAGTTATTAACAGGGTGTCCACCCTTTGGTGAAGGTGAAATTCAAGGACTTTTCCAGGACTTTCAAGGCCCCTTTTCAGTAAATTCAAGGACCTAGAACTGGGAAAAATCTTTGAAAATGGCACGGATTTTAGACTTTAACCAGCAAATAATTCACTTCATTCAGTAATTTTAATCAAAATCAGTAATGTTGGCACAGCTGGAGGTTAAGGAAATTAATTCCAGGACTTTCAAGGACTTCTACTGATTTTCAAGGACTTTCCATGCAGTCCTGAAATTTTTTTTCCAATTCAAGGACCTTCCAGGATTTTCAAGGCCCGCGTGGACACCCTGTATTAAGGTAAATATACTGTAAAGTCGCGTGTGACACAGTTTATTGAGAACCTGGACGGCTTCACTTAGTCTCGCTGTATTTGAACGTGTTGTTTTTTTTAGAAATTCTCTTTTCGGAATTAGAAGTGAGAGATTCTGAGATCATATGCTGTGTGTATATCGCTTCTCGAAATAAAAAACGTAACTATTATGTATATGAAAAGATTGTTCAACTTCAAAACTTTGCGCAAGAAAAATTGGGTAACAGATAAGTGTTGCGAGGATGTCATGTAGCCTAAGATACATACTTGTCTACGTTTTTAGTACGCAAAACAATGTCAGGTGACTTGCACTTCAAAAGTTTCAATTTAGCTGAGCTGGTGCTAAGCCACGAGAACGTCACTTCGGTCTGAATGTCGCAAGCTAACTGAAACTCGCAATTTAATTAAATTGCCAGTTTTCATTAAATTATAACAAGTCTAATTGCCTGTATCCATAGATATCTTATATACACTAGATAGCGCATCTCTTTCAGTAAAATTGAAGCCAAGAATATTCCAGCGGTTACCCCATTTGAATAGATGGCGGCCATGTTGGAGTTTCCCACTCGCTAATAAACGCTTAAAAAATGTCTGCACATGTACTTTATTTGGAGCCTGCCAAATCGGAAAATGATCAGGATAGTGACTCTGATTGATTTACATGTTATATTGACAAATGACTGTTGACATTGCTTTTTAGTCTTCAATATTTGAGTGAGTCATGCTTTGGAAATGACAATAAATTGTTATTACCCAACCCTTGAGTTGTTTTGTTTTTCATTTGACCAACCTTTTACTCACTCAAAATTTTGTTTACCCAACCCTTTTCTCTTCGCCATAAATAATGACCTTCCCTTAGCATTTATGCAACAGAGCAAAAAATCCCACCCAAAAGCCAATAACCCTGGATAAACCAGAATGCATTGCGATTTCGAGATGGCCTAGCCAGTGATAAAAACGTTTACTGAACTAAAGTAGTATATCGTACCATGTTTCTTGAGTTTCTTTCTGAACGTTTGAGATTCTTAGGGAAACTATTTCTGAGGAAACATACAGACGTTAAAGTGTGAAGTAACCCCAAAGTTGATTTTTGGTTTGTGTAATATTTGGGTCATTTGAAGAAGAAATGTAATATATCTTTATAATAAAAAATCCCATCTTGATCAACTTTTTCACTGTCAAAGTTTCCGGATGTCATTAGGTGAATTGCAAATTAGTTTTCCTTATGTTTTTTGTACCAAAAGTTCACCTAATGACCTCATATCTGGAAACTTTGACAGTGAAAAAGTTGATCAAGATGGAATTTTTTTGCTATAAAGAATGACCCGAATATTGCACACAGACATTAAGTGTGTTGTTACATATAGCGACGAAAGAAAAATCAACAACATTCATACAACAATTGTATTTCGTGACAAAAACTCTATAGTGTCAACGGGTTTAAAATTAAAAGAACATACTTAAGAGGTTTCAGTAGCATATCCTGTTGCCTGTTGTGTATTTTTCATTTCGTTATAGACAAGCGTTTTTGGTCAAGAACATGGTACTATAAAAATTGTTAAAAGTTTTTCTATGACGAAGTGTTGTGTTGAATAAATATTGTTGCGTGTCTTATGCGCAAAAGAAGACCTATTTTTGATTACGATGTAAAGTCAGTTCGCTTTCATTTTCAGATCACCTCCGGACTCCCTGATAGTCCCCATTTTTTGGCATGTGTATTTAATACCTTATAGGATCAGACCCTTGATTAGTTTTATGTTATATTCCTAACAATATTATTAAGATTCTCCGGTAGTGCACTAAAATTCTTCTGTTGTGACATCCAGTTGGACAACTTGCTAATATCACACAGTTACAATGTGTGGATTTCCTGTTTATTTTCAAAAAACTCCCTTGCGGACTTGGAAAGTAAAATTTCTTCACCTCTTGACTAGGAAACTTGGAACGGACACAGAAGGGCAATATATTAAAAGACATCTCTTTCACTTTCTATTTCCTTAAACACCACAGGTTTTTTCCGGATAATTCGATTTCCTTCTGTCGTTTCAACTCTTTAACCGTTAGAGATATACTCCGTGGGAACAACAGTTTAGAACTGGTAGAGCTATCCAGTATAAATAAAGTTTAGTGAGGTCGCAGGTCTCTTAATGCATGGATCACTAGAGCAATATCGATCTTCTGAACAGAACCACAGTTTCGTATTCATAGCTGAAAAAAATACTATTCATTATCGCCAATGCAAAGCCTCCCTCAACTTTTCTGTGATAAGTTTGGATTTTGCTTAAGGTTACAGAACACCTTTGAGTGTTAATTTTGCCCCAAAAATTTTTATTGGTTTCCATGAAAGCATTAGACTAGTTCTACTATCTGACCAAGTTTGAACGAAAAATGTTGAAAACTCGCAGAGTTATTTAATAAAATACATTTCGCTGCAATAAGAAAAACATTGAAAATGTAATATTCAAATTCAATTTTCTCCCGAAAAAGTTTACGGTAATTACTGATTTTCAAACGAGTTGTGCTCCTGCGGGTTTTAACCAATTTTTCTCAAATTTTCACAGGACATAGCTAAAGACGTCAGTTTCAAAATTGTGTTCGGCTTTTTTGTAATTTTGGATATTTTAAAAATAAAGAGCAATTCACTGAAACAATTCAGAAATACATTGCAGTCGTCAAAGAAATCGCCATATCAGCGGAATGACGAAATAAACAAAAATTTCCGAACACAATTTTTTAGAACAACTATTTTACTGTATAAAAATGATATTTTCATAAATATAACTTAAAACCAGCAGGAGCACAACTCAAAAGCGTAACGGTACCGCGATTTAAGATTTTCCTGAATAATTCTTACATTATTTTATTGTTTGTTAATTTTACAACTTTACCATATTTTGCATGCACTGGAGAACATTCGGTGAAAATTTGATGAAAATCGGACTGATATTGAGCGCGCAGTAGCGATTTTCCGCAAAACGCCAAAAAAGGTGTCCTGTAACCTTAAGTAATGCTAAGTTTTAAAAGATTTGTAAGAAATGTTTGAGGGAATTGATTTAGTGTTAAACAAGAACTCCGTTCGTTCAAACACTTCTTATAAATCCTTCACGATTTAGAATTTACTGATGCAAA